ATTTGTCATAAATTTGGCTTTGATAAATGCATTTAGTGTTAAAACAACCACCATTCTTTTACATAGTGTTTTTAAACTCTAGAAGTCTAAGAAAGTGAACAAGTCAGCTAAGTAAGACATAACGATTGTTTAGTTTTCGAGCACAATTACAAAATATCATTTGTTATAAGAATGTAATTTGTTTGTATTATGAAAAAAATATTACAACTATTTTCAAAATTTAAACTTGTACAAAGCTGTTATTTATTCTTGTTAATGCAAAAATTTAAAGAGTAAAAGGCACAACTTAGATGCCTGTTATATTTCTATAAATACATATATTTATATATTTTTGTTAAATTTGACATAAATTTTAAAAATATCTGCTAATTGGCATTTATAATACATCTGTTAAAAAACTTTTTTCATTTATCTAATAATTCTGATTTGTCTAGTGTATTAGAAATATCTTAATTTGACTTCATGTTCAATATGGTGTATTTTTCATTCACTGTTTATATCACCGATATTCCAAAAGAAATAAGGTTTAACTAATATTAAATTATCACTGTAATCCCATATATCATCCCGATCATCTAATATAACTACATTACTATGAATACTAAATAATCTATTCAGATCTTTTTTAAATCCGATGCCATTTTCATCACGGGTTAATATTCTATTTCCTATATACTTTCTCGTGGGATCAATAAGCTTTACAATTTTATTAGCATAAACTTTATTGCCCATAGTGTAGACATGTATTTCATACTTCTTGTACAAACATTCTAGCATGTAGTTTAAATAAGGACGGAACTTAACACAATATGAAATATCATTAATTATAAAGTTAGAATAGCCTTCCATATATTCTTTAGTTATAGTGGTGTGTAAAATTGTCTGATCTAGATCTAATACTAAAACCAGTTTTTTATTTTTATGAAGTCTTTCTAGCTTCTTTTTGTCCCTAAGAAGAGCCTCGTCTTCAGATAATTTTATGTCCGAATTATTGTGTAAAACTGAAAACAGTTTTTTATCATCATGTACCTCTTCTCCACAGTCACAGCATAAAGAACCAATTCTTAGAGAATGTAAACATGACATTTAAGGGCACATTTTATTAAAAAGAATAATTACAAACAATATAAGTTAAGATATTAAAATTTGTAAAATATTAATTTGTAGAACTGTAATAGTTGGAATGTTAAAATTTAATCAACATCTTGTGTAATGCATTATTAGATAGTTGTTTAAAAGTGTTTAATTTAGAACTGATTAATGTAAATTTTTCCGTTTAAATCGTTGTTGT